TTACCTGAGAGAGGCCATTGACTTCTGAATTGTATTTGGTTCCAAGCCCACCTTCTGTGGCATGCTCAGAGAGTCTCACAAAGCCCAGGAAGAGTGGAGGGTTAGGCAAGAGAGACTTTGCAAAATAAAATCAGCAGTAGCAATTTAAAGTAGCATTACATGTGCTTTTTAAGGATTCTGTTTACGTTATGGTAAAGCAGGCAAGAGTCTTTTGTTTTAGAACATGATAGTTCTTCATTTTAGTGAAATTATATTTTTATATTCTAGTGACAATTAGAAATGAAACCCATTGGCCCTGTTGACTTCTTTCTCCTTTTTGCTACTATGAAATTTACATAATATGTTTTATTAGAAATGAAATATAATTATCCTCTGAGAAGCCTTTTGTGATATAAGTAAATTATACACAGAAATGCATCTAAGATATCCTTTAAAATCCAGGTGTATTATTTAATAGAAGTTAATCTCTCTCCTTTTAGGACAGATAATAAACATTAATATGTTTATCTCTAAAACTGTCTGGTTATAATTTATACAGTAGCATCATTGCAGGGTCTTGCAAAAATATCTTCTTGTAATAAGCAGTACAAGGCAGTGCAAAGCTCAAGCCTCAAAGCACACAAAGGTGTGTGACGACTGAAGGATCTCTCAAACCACCATGACATGGCAATGTTTCTATGTCATTGTCTGCTATGTTATAAAGGGCCGATTCAATTCAACAGAGGAGTAATACCTGCAGGTCTGGTGGAAGTGTAACTAATACAGACTGTGCTGAGGAGTTACCATGCATTGCTAATGAGAGCCATGCAGCCTGGAAGTTGTATGCAACACTCACAAAGCTCCTGAAGTTGTATGTAGCTACCAAGCTTGATGCCTCCTTTTCTTTTCATTTTTTTTTTTTTTTTTGCATTGCATTGTTTAAAATAATGCATCCAATTATCTAACTTTTAAAGGATTTAAAGACAGCATAGAAATACATAGTTCTAAGATGCCATGTAATCAAAGCCATTAATTTGGATAAATTCCCTATTACTAACTTATACTGAAATGAACATTGTAGGAAAGCTCAGTTTAATGATACCGTGGAGTATATTCTTGCTTCATTCACTGCTGTCCTCTTTGCAAGGTAAGAATTTTATTCCATATTTGTAGTAATACTAAACTTTACAAATACTTTTCTAAATATTTTAATATTACGGCTCCTTCTTTTTCTATCATTATATTTTTTGACCTTGCTGAAATACATGAATGCAAGTTAAACAACTATGTATCATCATTCTCTTTCACAGGTGCAAAAAATACAGGAAAACTTTTTTAAGATGCATTTTTATGTCAGAATTTGTTGCAAAACAATTATTTATGAACAAAATCTAAGTTTCTTGACTTTCTTGCTATTGTCAGATGAGTAAGCACCTAATGATTTTCAATGGGAAAGGATTTTGTTTCAATGGATTGCACCTGCAGTTTATTTGAACATTTTTAGACTGTTAGGGTAAATAATTGCTCTTCTAGTTGTAGAAATTATCCTATTTTCTATGTAAAGCAACTGGATCTTGTAGATAGTTTTCTTGCAGTAATTATAAAGATTTCTAAGGCACTATGAGAAAGGTTGGAGGTTTTTTTGTGTGTGTTTGTTTATTTGTTTGCTTGTTTTAAGCATGGACTAATGTAAAATTATTTACAATTGAGTCTAATAACTGAAACTCAGAAAATTATAATCCTAGGAGTTTGATTCTGGAAAGCTCTGAGCACTTCTTGTAGTTTATCAGTTTTTGTTCTGAGACTCTGAAGAACTGTGAACTCTTTTCACTTAACATGGTAGCATGTACCAGAACTGAGACTGAAAACCTGAGGGTGAAGAGTACTTGTGAGAATCATATTCTCAGGAAGGAAAGGATGTATTGCCACATTCCTTGGAAACAGAAAAAGTTTGTACAAAGATGTCCAGAAAACTTAGGATCATTAAAAGCCAAATTTCAATAGTTGTTTTAAACTTGACATTGTTTGCCAAGGGCAGAGCAAGGCTGTAGAAAAATCTTTTAACTTGCTGACTTTTTAATCTACAGGATCTTATTGCAAGAATTCTCTTTCGAGAAGAACTTCGAGGTAAGTTTTTATTCTTTATCTATCAAGTCCTACAAACAGAACCAGAATGAGTGTGACGCAGTTCGAGTTAGAAAGTAAAATATAGCCCTGAATTCAACATGTAAAATGTCACCTACTTGTAGGTTGGATGTAGGGCACACTTTCAGAATGTTTACAACTCTTTTTAAGGTATTTCCATAATGGGCATGTGTCGTCTGTTTGAAAAATGGAGGTCCTTATGAAAAATGATACATCTATGGTCTCGAGAAAGCTTAGAGGAGTATTGGATTGAAACCAGCATGAGATCATGATTTCATGACTGGAAAAATACATTAAATGAGTATCCTTCTACAGTTTTAATTGCATGATAAAATCCTAGCTGCTATTTGAAGCACAGAGAAGTAAGTGCTATACAGCCTTAAAATAAACATTTTCAATACAAATTTTCATGTAGAAGCTGAAATCCAAACAAAACCCAAACTAGGGAATGTTCCTGATCCCATTGAATTAAATGGGAACTATGCCATCAGTTTCAATGGAAGAATCCGTTTGGGCGTAATTTTGAATGTCTAATGGCCTCTAATACATCTAGCGAACACACATGCATATCAAATGCTATGCCATTGGAGCGTTGATAGAAATAAGTGTGTTTCATAGTGTGATGCCCTTGTTTCTAAACTTAATCACAAATTTAAGTTGGCTCCAGCTGGAGAGTCATCTCTGGCTATTAAAAGTACCATCACAGTGTATTCAAGCAATACTTGGGGGAACTTGCAGCCACTCACAGTGTAAAATAAATATGAAGCCACTTTACAATTTTGTATCATGTTGTGTAAGCCTGTTTTGCCTATTTACGTCTCCCCACAAGCTCCAGGTACCTCCCTGTCCAAGCAGAGATCGGAGTGCTGCCCAATTCTGTAAAATGAGACCGTGAAAAAAAAAGAAAAAAAGAAAAAAATCACCTTCTAAAATGTTAACCCAAGAAAGACCTCTTTGATAAAGTGATGGTAATCAGAGAGAAACACTTCTCTCTCGGGAGTTGCTTATTCAGGTTGCTCCAGGGACCTTTGATTATACAAGATCCTTTTTGTTTTCTTCCAGAAATGAGTTTAATGCAACTCGACAGAAAAGAGATCTTGTAACAGCCGAGGTAGGTTATACTTCCAAAAGTGGGAGGGAGAGGAAACCCTCCTCCCTTTTCTGCTCTGGGCCTTTGCTGTCCTTACAAATGAGCCTTTGTGGGGAGAAGGGCTGTGGTAACAGGAGGACAGTGAGGAGGAGCAGCTAGTCCCTAGCTGCTCACCCCTGCCTGAGCCTGTGGCCTCATGCCTTCATTCACTCTCAGCAAAGTGCTTAGTGTACTACCCACCCTGGGAGCTGACTGATGCACACCACGAGAAATAAACCCACAACATCTCTGTCTTTGGTGAGGGTAAGCAGAATGCCCTGAAAGCTGTTCATGGTTGGTGAGAGGTGCAATGCCAGCACTGCTGTCGGGCTCCCTCCTGCATGCAGTGCAGTGGCAGCTCCAGCCTGGCCCCTGTTCCTATTGCCTCTGGCCCTACTCCCTCAGTGCTGCATCCTAGCAATGTTGTGCTGAAATTGCATTTCAAATGGAGGCATCTAGTTCCCCACTGGTACACTCCCAGGGTGTGGAGCCCAGCCAAGGGTTATAACCCTGTCTGATGGGGGTAGGGAGTAAGCCAGAGGTGGTCCCTCCTCAGGGTCTTGCAGGGAGCCTGCAGCCAAACCAGGAGCAATTTCCTCCTGGTCACTTTAAGGTCTACATGCCCTCTGACCGAGGCAGAAGGTAGCTGGTGTGAAACACTGCTTTAAGTTGAATCAGCCTCTGGGAGAAGCAGATCCTCAGGACTGTCAGTATCCTTGGAGGGCTCTGGGCAGGGAAGTGCTCTCGCAGCAAGGATGCTCTACCACCTCTAAATAATGCAAGGGGCAAAAGCTGCTTTCCTGAGGTGGCAGCTCAGAGCAGCTATCAGGGAACATGGAAATGGGTCTTCCTGTACAGAGAAGGAAGGGACACTGTCCAGGTAGTTGTGGGCCATGGGAACCAGGAATGGTTTTGGTACAGGGTCTTCCAGGTTGTGATTCAATGAAATCCATTTCAGGTTGACTTTAGACAGATTGTGCTACGTGGATGCATCCCACAAAGTATTTCCATCTGGAAAAGGGAAGTTTTTATGTCACTGGAAGAGTCATTAGCAAGACTTAACCTAACCTGTTCCTTGCACAATGCTATTCACTTTGAGATCCAGCAGTTCAAAGTCCAGATATGGAGAATGACTGGGGGTAGGAGGGAAGAAGGAAATTAGCTTACAAGCAAAGACTAAAACAATTTTTTTGCTTGGTTGTGCAACTGAAGGCTGGTGCTTATGTCTGTGGGGAGCACAGAAGGGTAAGTGTTTTCTCTTAGAACATCAGGTAGGAAATAAATAAAAACCAGAGGGAAGAAGAGCTATTTAAGCAAAAGGGCCCAGATTTATAAAGGAAGTGATTTTAAGCTGGCCATGAATAAATCTAAGTGGGAAATATTTAACTGCTCAGCACTTCATCCTGGTAAACTTTCCTAGTTTACCTAGGAAACTAGTCAGACTAGTGAGGGCAAAAGCCTCAGAGTACTTTCAGCCTGGAATGTGATCAGTTCTTGGAAGGGACAATGCGACGTGACAAGCTGCAGTAGCAGAGTGCTGGGTCAGATCCAGGGCTTCCTCATAGTCTGATGCTCCCCAGTTCCTAAACAGGAAGCAGGTCAGGCAGATCCACTTTCTCTTTTGCTTGGGATGAACCAAAATGCATTTCTGAAGGATCTCAAGGAGGACATGAAATCCATTGCAGCTGGAATGGCCATGGTGGGATGATCAGGGTGCAGCACAGAGCATCAGTCAGAGGAGAGGGTGAAGTAGAGAGATGTTGCATCTTTGAGCTCTCCAACTATGGGTGTTTGAGGGGAGTGAAAAGGGCAGGATTGCTCTCTGTTCCCTCAGTTTTCCTCCCAAATGTAAACACAAAACTCCTCTGGTGCAGCCCCTGTGGTTCACTGGAACTGAAGGGCATGGAGAGGAGGCCAGCAGTGATCTCACAGCACAGCTGTATCCTTCCCTATCCCCTCAAACCCATGGTTCTCCTCCCCAGGCTGCCAGTCCCTCCTGCAGCTCCCATGCTTATGCCATGTGCTGGCCAAGACAGAAATTACTCTTCTGTATTAAAAGTTCCAACCCGATGTTTGCCAGAGATGCAAGGCCTCAGGCTCATATTGTTTCATTTGTAAAGCACAAATACCCTGGTTTTACTTTTACATTTCTCTGACAGGTTCAAACTGCCTCTCGGTTGCATCTTCATGGGGTCTTGATGAGGAGTCTGCCAGGAGGTCAGTGCTATGCTCCTCACCTGCTGGAGGAGAAAGTCCTGAACATGCTGCCTTCCTATCAGCTGCTCTGTGTTACCATGGGCTGTAGATGCCCTTCCCCTTATGTCCACTACCAAACCCTGTCCTGTCTCATTTTCTCCTTTTACACATGTTAAATCAGGAAAAATTCCTGGTAAAATGGTACTTTTAAAAGAATGCCTTACAATCAAATCTAAACATCTAACTAAGCCAATCCTTTGACTTTTTTCTTTAAGTTTAGTTATATTGCAATTTTTTATTTTCTCCAACTTTTTTCTTGCCTGGGCAGAGGAGGTAAGTATGTCTGAGATGTGCATAACTGGTTGTGCAGAGGGACAGGGATGCTCATGCAATGAACATGCAGCTGCACCTGGAGGGTTTTAAGCACTGTACAAACATGTAAAGCAGGCCCAAGTTACAGAAGTTTTTATAGAAACGTTCATTGTAAGCAACTTTGGTTGGAATTTTGGGATCCTTCTTGGAAAATGCAAATGCCTGCGTAGGTGCTTTCTGTTGCATTTTTCTATGGAAATGAATATAATGCAATTTTGCAACTCGCAATTCTAACAACAGAGAAGTTTTCCACATTAGTGCTGTTCTATAAACAATATTTTCTGTTTTGTCAGTATTTTCAGAGGATCTGTGTATATTTGGAAAGCAATTCTTTAGTGAAAAGATTCAAAACTAAGTATGGAATGGAATTTTCACAATGAAGGATTATGTTCTTAATCTTTGGTAGCTTCTGTGGACCTTTGCTGTAAAGGTCCCATTTTGTTCCCTTTTAATGTCAATAGCAGCTCCAGCATGGTTTCATTGGGAGTGGAAGGGCCTGTTTATTTTGTTAACTTCCAACTTTTTGCAATACTTTTTTAATATCCATCAGCAAGACTGTAAAGTTTTGTACACAGGGTTTTAATCCTACTCCAAGGAAAGCAGCTATCTGCAAAATCTGATGAAATTTTGCTTTGGGACTACCTTTCTTTTCCACTTTTGGGGAACTGTGATTTAGACCCATCTCAGTAAATGATGACTAGGAGATCTTAGCTTCCAAACAGGCTATAAAACCCTTTAATGTAACTGCTTTTGGAAACAATTGCTAATTATATCATAAAACAAGCCATTCCCATGGAATCTGAAGTCTCTGACTCCAGTCACCTCTTAAGCAGAAATAACCTCTTAGCATACTTTTTTTAGCATGGGGGGAAGGTTGTTTATAACTGGTTTTAACTCTGTAAATTATATATTCTGGACTGTTCATAAACTGAATGTACCCTTTGCTGTAATGCTTAAAGAGGGAGGAGCTGAACATATGTATAAATTATGCTGAATTTAGTCAATTAGAATAATCTGTGTCATGTATATTTTGAGATCAGCAGGACTGGGATTTGATTTCTTTACATGGGAACTTGACCTTTTGTTTGCTGGGAGGAGGCTGACCTTTTACTCCTTTGTTAGTTTACAAGTCTCAAACCAAACGAGAGAGAACCTTGCTTCTCTTTTAACCAAGGAACACAAAGGATAAAATTAAGTAAATGTTAAAAAATGGAGATTGTTGTTGGTTAATTTTCTCAGCTAATATAACTGCTTGGGATTTAACAATAAACAGATTTAATGGGCATCTCTCAGCCTGTTGGCAAAATACTGTATCTACTAAAAGACCGCTATGCTTGCTTACAGGTTCGTGTCCTCAGGAGTGCCTTAATGGAGCAGCTTGCACAGAGGCAGGTGACTGTGACTGTCAGTTATTTCAGGCTCAAGGAAGCAGGTGCCAAATTGGTAAGTTTTGGGCCAAAAGAGTGTAATTTCAGCTTCAAGGGAGATTCAAGATGGAGGTTTTTTTTAAAACAATACTGTTAGCAGCATATTTGTGATTCCTTTGTTGTAGGACTATCACTTGACAGTAGAGAGGAGGATTAAAATTATATGCACTAGGAATATATGGAGAGCAACATCAGGAA